GCTCTCTCTCATTAATCATGTATTCTCGTCTTCTCCAGGCTCGCCTGCAACTCTGTCGACGGGGCCTCCCGCAACCGCCTCAGCCTTCTCTCCTAAAACCTAGCTGTTGATATACAGGTTTGGATGGCTCTCCCCCCTGCAGGGGAGGCGGCGGTGGGAGGAGGAAGGGATCTTGATTTGGAAGGGGGAGAAGCATGGGCTGGAGGAGCAAGTACTGGTGGTGGAGATGTTGTAGGGGAAACAGCCGTAACAGGAGGAAGGGATGCCGGGGGAGGAAGTAATGCAGGGGAGACCGCCGTTGGCGGAGGAGGAGCGGCGGTGGGACTCATCATCGGTGGAGGTGACACGGCTGCGGGCGGAGGAGGAAGTAACGGCGGGGAAATGGCAGGGGAAACTGATTTCATAGGAGGAAGTGATCTCGGTATCGAAGGGGGAGGAGGAAATGATGCAGGGGAAACCGCCGTCGGTGGAGGAGGAACTGATTTTGATTTTGGCGGAGGAGGAGCGGCAGCGGGACTGATTGGGTGAGGAGGAGGAGGAAGTGATGGCGGGGACATTGTAGGGGAAACTGACGTCATCGGAGGAAGCGACCTCGGCATCGAAGGGGGAGGAGGAGGAAATGAAACAGGGGATTTTGCAGTTGGTGTAGGAGGAGGACGAAGGGGCTTGGTTTTTGACGGAGGAGGAGCGACGGTGGGACTGATCGGAGGAGACGGTACGGTGGGTGGAGGATGTAACGCCGGCGGCGATTTGACAGGGGAGACTGTGGGAACAGAGAAGGCAGGGGAATCGGGAGCGGGAGTAGTGAAGGGAGGAGATTGGGCAGGGGAAAGGGGAGTTGCAGGGGCGGAATGAGGAGATCCGTAAGGGGATGAAGTACTCACTGGAGTTCTTTGGCTGCCCCTCTTCTCTTCTTTCACGTTCTTTCTTCTCCTTCTATTGCTCAATCAGTTTTCAGTCACTGAGAGAGAAGGAGAGAGGGAGAATAATGGATTGGTGAGTTGAAAGAGGAAAAGTGATGGTGAGAGAGAAGGAGAGAGGGAGAGTAATGGATGAAATTAAATGCAATGGGACAGGAGTAGAGAGCTAATTACAAGAGTGCCATTGGTTTGATGGGAGCCGCCTGAACGCGTCAGATAAAATGTCAGTCAAATACAAGAGGGTCAAAAAAGCAAAAAGAGTAACAGTGGCGGGATGTGACTCTACCAAACAGTAAAGTTGTAACTTGTTCTTTTAAAGAGATAATAATCGCGGAAACGTACAGAAGCACGATTTTTCGGGTTGCAGTTATTGATCATCCTTGAAAATATATATAATCGTATCGTATCCCTAGCCAGTCGTAATTATCAACCGGTATACTGATCTTGAACTCTGCAGCCACATGCATGCAATGCACGTACGCGGGAACTACGATGAGCACGCGGGTGTTTTCAATGTCGCTGCAGGCAGGTATAAAGGAAGAGGGAACAAGACGTACACTGTACAGTCAAAATAACGTTTTGACTAAAACTAGCTAGTGAATGTCTGTCTGGGGGATTCGGATTACATTGAAGCATTATTTTCTGTTTATTAACTAGTGAATATAATCGATGTGCGTTGGTTGAGTAAAACTGAGATAGTGAATTGGGCCGGACTCGCATAATCCATATAAGTGACAGGAATCTGTTAAATGAAAAGAGAATTAACACACGCCAAATTAAAATGGAACTAGCCTGGAAGCCCGCACTTCGCGGGGGTAGCATGGATAGTTATTACATAATAATTTTGCTATCATTCTGGTTTATATGTCATACATAACAAATAAGAACAGAGGCTTTGCTTAATAGAGTGATATCCTAATTGAAAACTTGAGAAACACATTGTTCTATGCTTTTTTTCTCATCCAAGCATACCCGATCCTTCAAACTCCACCAAAACCATGACAAAAAGAGGAAGCCCATTTGCTTCTTTGGCATCAAACTTGCATTTAGCTCCCTCACTACAAAATCATCAGCAAATCAGTTCCAAACACTGCAAATTCAACATCAACCATTAAAAACGAAAAGGAAGAATCTAATGCATCCATTGCAGACAAAATTGGTTGAATTGTATAAGTACTATTTGAAGGAGGAGGCATTTTAGTGTGCTTTATAGTATTGGTGCTATAAAACATTTACAGCCATTAGATTATGTTCAAACTATATCAACCATTAGATTTTATTTAAATTATTAATATTTTATTTTATTTGTGTGGACAACCGGTACAACCGGTTGTCTGAAATTATTTGGGCCGAAACCATTCTTCTCACCTCTTCTCACCGCCGAAACCATTCTTCCTTCGATCCTCTTCCTTCGATCCTCTCCACGCAGCTAGCGAGCAGTGAAGACGGCGACAGTGAAGACGGCGAGCAGTGGGTGACGACGAGTGAAGACGGCGAGCAGTGGGTGACGACGAGTAGAAGAAGCTTGTCGATTGCAGCGATTCGGATTCCGGATTCCGACGACGACAGTGAAGGCGGCGAGCCGGATTCCGACGACGACAGTGAAGGCGGCGAGCAAGGGACGACGAGAGCGAGCATCTCTTCGTCGATTGCAAACGAAGACCCTCTTCCCATCGATAGCAAACGAAGGCTCTGCACAGAACCCCCTCTTCCCATCGATAGCAAAAGAAGACCGCTGACCTACCTCCTCCACCGCAACTTTTTTCGGTTAGTATGCCTATCAGTTCTACAATTTTATTCAATTTTCCGGTTAGTATGGCTATCAGTTTAGGGATTATGTTGGGATGTTCTAGATTTACACATTTCGGTAGGGGGATTGAAATTCCATGCTCGTTTTAGGTTTATGAGTTTAATTGGTCATGTCCTTTTACCAGGTTGATGTCCTTGTACTATCTTCTTTGTGTTTAGCTTGATAATTAGCTATATATTGACTGATTTAGTGTCAAAGCAAACTATCAATTCACATATGAGACCTGCTTGTTGATGTCCTGGTATTGGTTTAATTGTGGACCTCATAGATGTAGGTCGATGTTGATCAAAATCCTTCTGAAAGCCATTGTAGTTCATCTTGTAGACCATCTTATTGTTTACAGAATTAGGGGTGAGTTGGTTGATTCTAAACTTGTCATGATAAGTAGCATGTTCTACTTCTGCTGGTCTATTTTCCTTGGTGTGGTTGTGTCTCCAGTGGGAAGGAACATGTTGTCAATTCCAAAAAGCTTCTTTTCATATGGACAGAGAGGTCTTTGTCAAAGCAACGTGGTGTAATGTGGTTGTTGGTTGCTCCTCCATTAACCATACAGCCATAGATTTCCTGCTACTAAAGTTCATTGTGAGTCGATTTACACATTGAAGCTTGAAGGGAGAGTTGTGCATGGTTGTGTGGTTGCCTTGCTGGGTAGTGAACAATTTAATCATGTACCAAAGAGGAAAATGCTTGTCACCAAGAAAACTCACACTTGGTGAAAGAGCCTAGGAAATAGCATGCATGAACCAAGCAAAGATCATGTGTTCTTTATGTGGTTTTCCACCATAGCTAAATGCTCTCTCATGAAAATGATATCATAAATTAGTTTTGGAAACTTTTTTTGTTTACTTTTTCATAAATGGAAACTCCATTTCACTTGGAAAACCGGTGTGAGTTGCATGTGTCGAGAGAGCTATTGCCTTGTTGAGTTACATAATCGTCATTCCAAGCATGCAATTCATCTTGTCTTTGTGAGCGCTGGGAGAGGAGTCCTAATCATGTTCCCATTGTGGTTAAGCTAGCAACTATTTGTAGTATGCTTGTTGTGTGGATGTATTCTAGAAAAGGGTAATCGAAGCATTTGTCTTCTGTGATTCTTTGCATGAGCTTTGCATTAGTCTTATGTGATTCTTTGCATTCATTTGAGCTTTTTATTTCGTTTGAATGCTGGCTCCGTCTACGTTTATGTGATTAGTACCTCAGTTTACTATTAGAGCAAGATTGTGATGCAATTGATAGGTTATGTCGTGATTCATCAAGTAAACCTTGGACTTCATCTCCTCATGCTTAATCATTAGTTCATTCTTTCATGCATTCCAGTATTATTTTTCTGATTAGAGATTCATCTGTAAATATGCACTTCTCACGGCTCATCTGTAAATATCACGGGCGTGAGATTAACCCGTGATATGGTCACAGCTGAAACTCAAAAACACGCCTCACATCTGAAAATATCACGGCCGGGAGATGTACCGTTAGATTTTTTTAAAAAAAGGGGGAGTTCCAGGGGTTTTCACGGGTTGGGTTCGACGGTATCACGGCCGTGAGATGAGCCGTGTTTGTGTAATTGAAATGCTGGACTTCTCACGGGTGTGAAATTTCAAGAATTAGCCGTGAGAATATTTAGTGGGTGTTTTTAGTTTCACGGCTTATTTTAACGGTCGTGATTTATGAAGCCAAAGCCGTGAGATTGTCTGGAGTTATGAAAACTTCTCTTTGCTTCTCACGGGTCATGTCACGGCCGTGAGATTTTGCATTTTGGGTGAAATTTAATGAAAGCTGGGTGTTTTGGGTGAAATTTATATATGCCAATGGCGGATTTCATGGTTAATTAGTGTACTCAGGTGTTGATGTAGGGGGTTTTCAGTTCTTCTGGTAGTTAGAACTTGTATTTTGTTTGTACTCTTCGGCATGCTTATAATTCGTGTTGCAAGGCATGCTTATAATTTTTGTGTTGTTTTAATTTTGCAGTTTGCTAAAATTGTTCTATAATGAAGACGAAGAGGCATCAAATTTTCAGCACGCGATGTTCTCCTAGGAAAGTATTCTCACTAGTCTCAAATTTAGAGGCTTGTCAATCAGAGGCCATTAAGAGATGTGGCTTTGGTCGTATTCTTGAAGTCAAAGCAAGAAAGCTACAACGTGAGTTGTTGGAGAAACTTGTGAAGAGCTTTAATCTGGAAGAAAGCACAATTAAGGCGTATGGGTTGGAAGTGCATATTTCGGCCAAAGATTTCGCGCGAATTATGGGTGTGCCTGAGGGAGGTACTGATATCATCTTGAATGGTGAAGAAGTGGAGGGAAGATCAGAGGAACTGGAACCATTTAGAGTGTTTTCGACACGTGATTGTGGCCGACAGGCGATTTCCACAAGCTTAATGCAGAAGGAGTTGTCGAAGATGAAAGATAGCGACGATCTATTTCTTCAAATGTTTATTTTGTACGTAATGGGGGTGCTATTAGTACCAACTAGAAGAGAGGACATTTCCTTGTCTTCGGTATACGCTGTCACCGATGTTGCAGACATTCCGAAGAAGAATTGGGCATCCTTTTGCTTCAATGAATTGGTCAAATGCATCTGCGACCATAATGCTTATAGGAGAGAGTATATACCGGGTTGCTTGCTGTTTTTGGAGGTAAATAATTGCTAATCCCGACTTTCTACATATTTGTAATGATTAATCATCATGTTGATTATAGTATTTTTTTTGTAGTTAATATTCTTGGAGCATGCAAATGGTATTTTCCAAACCATTGATGGGAGTTTGGATTTGATGAGTTGGGAGAGCGGAGACGTGGAGTTATTGTTAACAAAAGTGGTAAGATTGATAGTATACTTGATTCTTTTGACAAGTTGGAGCATGCTAATGGTACATTTGGTTCCCTTTTTAATTAATTTATAGGTTTCCAGCAGTTCGGGGAAAAGATCATCGGGGAAAAGATCAGCTGAGGATGCCGGTTTGAAATCACCTCCAAGGAAACGGGGAAAAGGAGACGGGAAACGGCACAAACCCGACGGGGATGAGCTGCTTCTCTATGAGCGTATCGATGCTCGGTTTAGTACCATGGAGGGTAGAATTGACAACTTTGGTCAAGAATTTAGAGTGGCAATGGGTGATGCTGCTTCTAGAGATAATGAGCTAATGAGCCGGGTTGTGAAAATGGAGAACGAATTTCGGGCTTTTAGAGACGAAATCGGTACTGCAGTGAAGTCCCTTATAGAGGCAGTGAAAGAAACTGTAGGTGATCCGTTGTCAAGGGAGCAGCCTAGGGAACCCATTTCTCCTACAGCTGAGTTGAAAAAGAACGATCAGAAGGGTGAGGTTGAAAAACCTAGGGAACCCATTTCTCCTACCTCGGAATGTGTCAAGACTGCCAAAGTTGAGAATTCGGGAGAAGCTGAGGGGGAAATTGGAGATGACAGATGTTCTGAATCTCCTTCTGTGAAAGTTGTGAAAAAGTCTCCTCGCAAGCAGCCTAAAGCGTCTCAAGTTGAGAAATTCATATTGTTGAGTGATGAAAGTGTTGCTGCTAATGACGGTTGTTCCAAGGCTGTGAAGGTATTTCACTTGATTAAGTTTTCTAATTATTGGTTCTTATGGTGTGGTTACTAATGAACTGGTTTTGTTTTTATGTTTTTGAACAAGAAAGGGGCGAAAGGGAGGTGCACTACGTAGTGTGTCTAAATTGAAGCCTAGTTTGTATGTGGTCTCTCCATTCGAACGGGCAAATCCAAGAGCTAAGAAAGCACAACCTTTGTACCGTGCTCCTCCCTTTGTTGTTCAGACACCATTGACTCTGTAGGCAGTGAAGATGATTCAATTTGCTTTTAGTAGTGAGCTTCCCGAAAGGTACCTCCCGAAATCATTACAAGTAAAATTGGATCATATTTGTATGATGTTTTTGGTATTTGCCTTATTCTAATGTTGTGTTGTTTGAACTTGGTATTGTATAACAGTGACATATTGGTTAGTGTTGGTGGCGGGGTTCTTTCCTTGTTACGTGAAGATTTTGTCGAGCTTTTGCCAAGGACCAAAATTTCAACAAGGGTAAGTTCATTTATGTGTGTAATTTAGTAGATTGAACGTGTATTGCTGACTTTGGTATATGTGATGATGATGCATTAGATTATAGAAATGACGTGTCTGTGCAAGACACTAGAAGAACGAAGTTGTGGTCGCCGTGGTGGCTTGTCTTGGTTCTTTCCACCTTCAGTTTCGGTACAGTTGACTGCTTTGTCTATTCTTGTCATGAAATTAATCTATTTTTTGTTACATGTAGCTTGTGTGGGTGACTGGGTTTTATTTTTCTAGGATCGTGCGAGTCATTGCAACGAGGAGCAATTTATGGCTAAGATGCGTTCATATAAGATACATGAGCGATACTGTATTGGTGAGCTACTTTACTGCAGTAAGGTATGTTGTAATGTTGTTTTCTAAAAGCAAATGGCTTCACCCTCCTATGTTAAATTGATAATTATTGTTTGTTTGTCCATTATTTCAGATTCATGTCCCAATTTTCAACCTCACGTTGCAGCACTTCTATCTGGCGGTCTTTAACATGGAAGCGAAAGAAATTGAAATCTGGGACTCATTACGAGGAACTCATAATGAAGAATATGATGCAAGGATGCAGAAACTGGTTTGCTTCTTGTTCTTCAAGTTTTCAAGCTTTACGTATTGCTTAGTTGTTAGTTGTTAGTTGTTTTTCATTTGCCGACTTTGTCGTTATATATCGATGAGGGGGATGTTTTCATTTGCAGAAATTGGGTCTAGATTGGTTGCTTAAGGATGTTATCTGCGGGGCTTTTTCTTTTGTGGACTTCGTGGTTAGATATCGCCAGGATGTTGCTTGCCAACCAAATGGGTACCCTTTGTTGTTGTTCAATCGTGCATTGTTCTAATTAAGTTCGATAATTATTTGTTCGCATCATGACCATGGTAATTATTTGTTATATTACAGATTTGATTGTGGACTATTTGTCATCAACTACTTGCTGGATCCAGATCGATATTCCAAGAAGCTTGACCAGTTCCACAGTGACTATGAGCGGGCACAACTTACAATGTACTTGCTCACTACGGATCTGAATGAGGTGAAAGCTACAGTTAAGACACAATCAGATGAATATTTTGAGAGACATGCAAGACCTGCGCAAATCGAGACTGAGAAGGTGAATTTCAAGACAAACTTACTCAATCGAGGAAGAAAACCGTTGCACGCGCATGGGGAGAAAAAGGGTAGAAAGTCTAAGAACCATTGAGACTTGTGATGTTAATGTAGAGTTTAGTTAATGTGGATGTTGATTGAAGTTTAGGATAATGTAGATGTTGAATGAATTTTAGTGAATGTAGATGTTATTTTTTCTCTATATTATGAATGAAGCATTATTCAGTGATGTTATTTTTTCTCTATATTATGTTTAATGTGTCGACAAGGGAAAAATTATGCATGATCATATACCGAAAAATGGTTGAAAATGGACTTGAAAGCAGGCGTGTTTTTGGATTTGTAATTCTGGAAATATCACGGCTGTGAGATAGGCCGTGAGAGAGACCGTGAGATTTTTTTCCATACAAAGGTGGAGTTCCAGACAGTTTCACGGGTTGCCTTCGACAGTATCACGGCCGTGAGATGAGCCGTGTTTTGGATATGAATGATGGACATCTCACGGCCACTTTGTAAATTCTCATGGGCGTGAGACTTGGCCGTGAGATGGGATTTTATAACGGCTTAATGATGGTGATTTTACGCCCGTGAGACTGGGCCTTGAGATTCAAAAAATCATTCCCTATGTTCAGAGAACCTCACGGTCTTGAAAGGACCATCTCACACCCGTGAGATTGTGGGCTCGCTTGTTAGTGAAAAAAAACGACATCAAGAAGGTTCGAACCAGAGCACTTGGCATAATAATTCAGCATATTAACCAATCAGACTACTTAACATATTTGCTAAAATTCATTGTTCGTTTGATTTTTACTATGTATGGTTGAATGAGCGTTTGATTATCGGTTTTGGGTTAAACCCCATGTAATTGTGAACCGATGTGAGATTGAGGTTATGTATATGAGCGTTTGATTATCGGTTTTGGTGTTGAACCCCATGTAATTGTGAACCGATGTGAGATTGAGGTTATGTATATGGTTTAGTGAGCGTTTGATTATCGGTTTTGGGTTGAACCCCATGTAATTGTGAACCGATGTGAGATTGAGGTTATGTATATGGTTTAGTGAGCGTTTGATTATCGGTTTTGGGTTGAACCCCATGTAATTGTGAACCGATGTGAGATTGAGGTTATGTATATGGTTTAGCAAGCGTTTGATTATCGGTTTTGGGTTGAACCCCATGTAATTGTGAACCGATGTGAGATTGAGGTTATGTATATGGTTTAGTGAGCGTTTGATTATCGGTTTTGGGTTGAACCCCATGTAATTGTGAACCGATGTGAGATTGAGGTTAAGTATATGGTTGAGTGAGCGTTTTATTATCGGTTTTGGGTGTAATTGTGAACCGATGTGAGATTGAGGTTATGTATATGGTTGAATGAGCGTTTGATTATCGGTTTTGGGTTGAACCCCATGTAATTGTGAACCGATGTGAGATTGAGGTTATGTATATGGTTTAGCGAGCGTTTGATTATCGGTTTTGGGTTGAACCCCATGTAATTGTGAAACGATGTGAGATTGAGGTTATGTATATGGTTGAATGAGCGTTTGATTATCGGTTTTGGGTTGAACCCCATGTAATTGTGAACCGATGTGAGATTGAGGTTATGTATATGGTTGAATGAGCGTTTGATTATCGGTTTTGGGTTGAACCCCATGTAATTGTGAACCGATGTGAGATTGAGGTTATGTATATGGTTGAATGAGCGTTTGATTATCGGTTTTGGGTTGAACCCCATGTAATTGTGAACCGATGTGAGATTGAGGTTATGTATATGGTTGAATGAGCGTTTGATTATCGGTTTTGGGTTGAACCCCATGTAATTGTGAACCGATGTGAGATTGAGGTTATGTATATGGTTGAATGAGCGTTTGATTATCGGTTTTGGGTTGAACCCCATGTAATTGTGAACCGATGTGAGATTGAGGTTATGTATATGGTTGAATGAGCGTTTGATTATCGGTTTTGGGTTGAACCCCATGTAATTGTGAACCGATGTGAGATTGAGGTTATGTATATGGTTGAATGAGCGTTTGATTATCGGTTTTGGGTTGAACCCCATGTAATTGTGAACCGATGTGAGATTGAGGTTATGTATATGGTTGAATGAGCGTTTGATTATCGGTTTTGGGTTGAACCCCATGTAACTGTGAACCGATGTGAGATTGAGGTTATGTATATGGTTTAGTGAGCGTTTGATTATCGGTTTTGGGTTGAACCCCATGTAATTGTGAACCGATGTGAGATTGAGGTTATGTATATGGTTTAGCGAGCGTGTGATTATCGGTTTTGGGTTGAACCCCATGTAATTGTGAACCGATGTGAGATTGAGGTTATGTATATGGTTTAGCGAGCGTTTGATTATCGGTTTTGGGTTGAACCCCATGTAATTGTGAACCGATGTGAGATTGAGGTTATGTATATGGTTGAATGAGCATTTGATTATCGGTTTTGGGTTGAACCCCATGTAATTGTGAACCGATGTGAGATTGAGGTTATGTATATGGTTGAATGAGCGTTTGATTATCGGTTTTGGGTTGAACCCCATGTAATTGTGAATTGATGTGAGATTGAGGTAATTGATATATGGGTTGATTTTCGTTTGATTATGGTTTTGGGTTAACCCATCTAATTATAACCGATGATTTTTTTGGGTTGGTCATAATGAAGAAATTCCTAGATCCTAAACCCTCACCGTCGTAAGTCGTAACAGTGATGCCGTTTCTTCCTTCTCGTCCTCCGTCGGCGCCAGAGGACTGATCCTCGGTTCCTCCCTGTCGGCTTCTTCCTTCCAGCTTCCCTCTCTCCCAGCCTCAGTTCTTCCTTCGTCTTCCCTTCTCTACCCATCCTTCGCGACGAAACCAGATTCTTCCTTCGTCGGTTCCTCCCTGTCGGCTTATTCGCCCATCCTTCGCAACCCATCCTTCGCGACGAAAGAGGCTTATTCTAGCAATCTTCCTTCGTCGTTTGTTGCTGACCTTCCACCGCCACCGACAATCATCTCCGTTCAGCTCCCTGACTCCGCTCCCTGCCTTATTGTTTCAGGTACCCGCCGGCTCCCTCTTGTTTCTTCTCGGATGATTAATTCTTCTGTTCTGTTTCGGTTCTGCTCCGTTTGTGATTGTGGCGCTGTCGTTGTCCAATGGCGATCTGGAGGCCGTGGATCTTGGCGCGCCTCTGTTTGTTTATCACCGTTTCTCGAACTTGCGGATAGCGGTTTCCCGGCTCATTTAGTTTTTCGTTCATCCGGTTGAGGGAATTAGCTATGGTTTTGTGTTCCTCGTTTGATTTCTGTCGAGTAATCCGTCCGTCTACGATCTTGTTCATTCTGGATTTCCAGGTGAAATGAGATTGCCCCTGGGTTATTTCGTTCATTCTGTTTGGGGGGACTTGATATTGTGTTTGTCTATTCGATCATGGTGGCTTGATTGGTGTCTTGTGAGGGTGATTGGGGGGTTTCAGATAGAAAACTACTGTTTCCTGTAGGGAATCTGTTCATAGTTTTGTTCTTTCTGGTCGTTTGTCGCGGAAGTGAAGGGGAAACTATTGAGTTGATATGTGGATTACAGTTACCAGCCAGCCCTTCATTTCAATTGTCTCGTGTTTGCCTCGTGTTTGTTAATTGATTAGTGAAGTGTTTGATTCGGTCGGCTGTGGGTGGCTAGATGGATATATCTAGTTATTATTGTTTTTTGTTCTTAGATGGAAACCTCACTGCTTGTAATTAAATTGTCACGGCCGAGAGAATAAGCCATGATATGGAAATCACTCCCAATTTCACGGCCGTGCGAGAGACCGTGAGATAGAAATATCACGGCCGGGATAAGGAGCCGTGAGATGAAAATATCACGGTCGCGAGAGAGACCGTGAGAGAGACCTTGCATGTAAAAATGCACTTCTCATGGCCCCTCTGTAAATTCTCACGGGCATGAGACTAAGACGCCTCATAACTGAAATCTCACGACCGGGAGATGTACCGTGAGATTATTTCCATAAAAAGGGGGAGTTCCAGAAAGTTTCACGGGTTGTCGTCGTTATTACCACGGTCGTGAGATGGGCCGTGTTTTGGATATGAATTCTGGACATCTCACGGCCCTCTGTAAATTCTCACGGGACGTGAGACTTAGACGTGAGATAATCCCAGCTGAAATCCAAAAACACGCCTCATAACTGAAATCTCACGACCGGGAGATGTACCGTGAGATTGTTTCCATAAAAAGGGGGAGTTCCAGAGAGTTTCACGGGTTGTCGTCGTTATTACCACGACCGTGAGATGGGCCGTGAGATTGGAATCCTTAAAAATAACCTATGCATATTAGAATTTGAAACCCCCCGCCCCCATATTTTGTTCGAACCCTATTTTCCTCTGTTCTACTTCGACCCCCAACCCTCTACTCCCTCTGTTCTACTTCGACCCCCTCGCCCTCGCGCGCTCGCCATCGCCCTAGATCGCTCGCCCTCGCCCTCGCCCTCGCCCTTGCTCGCTCGCCCTCGCCCTCGCCCTCGCTCGCCCGCGAAGATTCTTCCGCCGCCGACCACTTCCCCACGATTCCTCCTCCTGGTAACTGCTCCAAGGTTCAGCGGCGACGACGACCATTTCCGGACGAGTCTCTGCCCTCTGTTCCACTTCGATCCCGA